CTAGAAGTCTCAGGCCCCAATTCTGCAACGAGCTTTCTGTGGGTGGGTGGGTTCCCAAACACAAACAACATCCCACTGAAGCAATTAAAGATGTTCTTATTCACAACCAAGGTTTAAATCTGGCTGCTTTAATTGTTGCTTTCTGTGTGGGGAGGAAAGTAGTTAAGACTTAGAAGTGCACTGATACATTGGTCTGATATTGGATCGGCACCGATATAAAGAAAATTGGCTGCAACACAAATCGGCTTTTTTTTTTTTTGCCCGATGTGGCCAATAACATAAAATAATGCCCTGTGCATGCGTGCAGCTGCAGCGCAGCACATAGGCGGCAAGAAGCACAGCGCAGCATCTTGAAGAGCTGTGTGCAGCTGGTAAGTCTGTTATGGTGGAAGAGGAGGGAGCAGGGAAGGGGTGTGGAGGGGCAGGCGCTACCCAGCCAGGGCAGAGTAGGGTGTGGGATGGAGCCATGGCTCGTTCAGAGCAGGGGAGGACAGTGGGTCCTGCCACTGTGCGCACCCCAGGAGGGCATGGGGGCATGTGCCCCTGGATCTGTGTGTGGGGCAGGCTGCTGCTGTGGGCTGGCGCCAGGCTCTTCCCAGTGGGGGCTGGACCAGGCTGTGCTTGGAGTGGGCAGTGGCGGTGCTGGGAGGGGGGCTACAGCAAACTTTGGGGTGGCTCCAGCCTCCACATAGCCTCCCTCACAGTGCTGCTGCTGCCGCCCACTCTGAGCGCAGCCCAGCCCAGTCCCCCATCAGGAAGAGCCCAGCACTGCACCAGCCCCAGCCCGAAGCGGCAGCCCACCCTGCCCTGCACAGATCCAGGGGCACTTGTCCCCCATGGCTTCCCAAGCAGTGGCAGGAGCTGCTCCCCCGTACGAGTCACGGCTCTACCCTGTGTCCGCCCTACCCCAACTGAGCAGTGCCTGCCCCAGCCCCAGCCCAACTCCCTCCCTCACTGCAGGGGCCTTGATCTGCCCCGCCCCCCATGCCCCTTCCCTTCCACCACAACAGACTTACCAGCTAGACACACTCTTCAAGCTGCCAGGCTGCTTATCAGAAATCAGATTGGTATCAGCCAACATGCCTCCTTAAAAATTGGCTATTGCTATTGGCCACAAAAAAAATCTATCGGTGCATGCCTCTTAAGAATTATTTCCTGAAAAGGTTTTGTAGAAGGCCAACTGGACCAGGCATGCCTGGCTCTGTCACCACCCTGGTGCATGGCCCTGGTTAAGTTACTTTGCTGCTCTGTGCCTCAGTTTCTCCATTTGAAAAACAGGGACCCTCCTATTGACTTGTGCATGCTGCTTACAGATGTTACAAAAACAAACAAAAATGGTGGTTTACTCTAAACTTGGTGCACTCCTGTGCTGAACCCAGCACATGCCCAGAAGAGGCAGTGCATTATTTTGATCTGGTTCACCCAACATCTGTATAGATCAGGTGCTTTAGTGGGGTTTTTTGGCACGTTTATCTAACAGCTGATTGAATCAGCTATTAGATACAAGTGCCCAAAAAGCCCCAAAGTGCCAAATCTATATAGACACTGTGGAGCTGGGTCGAACCAACGTGCTGCTTCTTTCAGTAAAGCAAATTTTGTTTTTTTTTTTAACCTCTGCAAGCAGCCTAGTAAAGTGCTTTGAGCACTAGTGAGGAAAAGTGCCACAAGTGTTGGCTATTATTATGGTGTCTGAATATTCAGATATTTCTTTATGTGTTTTATGAAGTGCCACAGAGTACAATCTTTTAAAATAATATCATTACTCTCTATGCATTATAGAACAAAAATTTAAAAAGAAGCAGTCTAGATGAACAATGACCTTAAACCAGACTCCCACTGCCCATCTTTCATTGCTTAGCTCAGCCCCTGGATAGTAAAGCTGGAAGAGGTAGAGAAGATCCTTGTTTTGCTTCTTGCCACTTGTGCATGTGTTTAATCCCAGGGCCTGCACAGCATCTCATGGTGGCAGGGGAGGATGTCTGTAAAGCTTTCCTTACTAGAGCTTTAAAAGCTGCAGTGCAGGGACCAAGGGGTACAAATGCATCCTCTAAACTCCAAGAATCCATTTTTATGCAGAAGCTTGAGACAGTAGTGCATCTACCCCATTCCTTGGTCTGGGTATATTCCCCAAGTGCTCTTCTAAGCAAAGCAGGACATGTACAATGGGCTCCCAAGACACTGATTCAAAGAAAGACCAACTGGCTCAGCTTTCTAACTCTTTCCTGCCACATCTGAGCCATGACAAGGTTTTGTTTTTTCAGTTTTCAGACAGGTTTGGAATGAGAATGGAGCCCTACATTGCACAAAAGTAGATATAGGAAGCACATCTATTTGGTCCTGAGTGCTATTTGTTAGGGTAGTTTAAGCCTTTTCATATTCTCCAGCTGATCCACTCCCCAACCTCAGCCCCCTTTTTTAATATCAGCAAGAATAAAGCAGTATCTTACATTCCTATAGCACCTTGCAATCTGACAGACCCAACAGATTGTACGTACAGGAATCACTGACCCAATCAGTGAAAAGCACCCACCTCTGGGGTGGAGTGTAGAAGCTGTTTGAGAACTGAGGCATTCCACAGTAGCACAGGAGAGGGTCTGAAGACAAGCACTGTACTCTGCTGTAGCCTCTGACAAGTGTAACTCCCTGGTTGGCAAAGTCTCAGACAAGATCCCACCTGTAAGACAGCCACCCTCTCACATGGTCTGGAAGTGGGATGTGCAGACCTAGAAGTAGAAGCTTCTCCAGCCTGAGCTACAGCACCAAGGTTCAGGTTTAGCAGCTGTAGCCATTCCTACACTCTGAGGGCCAGGCACAAAGGAAGAAGAGTAACACACTCCCAGCAGGTGCTGTGATTACTAGAACGCCTCACATTTTGCAAGCGGACTTTTGGGTTGACAAAGGGGTTTTAAGAACATTTTTCAAATGAAAAATTGTTTGTTTTCACTATCTCCCCTTCTCCTATCCCCCCACCCCTCAAAATGTTTCAGTGACAATGGATTATAAATATCAGGAAGAGATGCGATGCGAATGCACAGTCTTTCCATGCGTGTGCCTGATGGCTGTACTGCAAACCTTCCTACCCAGATGCTTTGACAACAGCGTTTCTCACCGTGAAATGAAAAACCCAGTTTTGAATGACAGCAAGCAGATAGCACCAGACCTTTCAGAGAAGGACAGCACTTATGGACACAAGGTGCCTCTTACAGTCAACTCAGGGCAGTGCTTCCGTTCTGACCATTCCCAGGCTTTCCCCACTGGCACTGCTCCCCCTTAACCATAGCATCTCTTTCTTGAAGTGCACAGAGACCCCTTCATTAGAACAGCCCTTCCTCACCCCCGCCACTCTGAGGTCCTGCTGTTGTGTTCAGGCAGCTGGTGTCTTTATAGTCTTCCTGACTAATTCCAACTCCAACACGCTTATGTCCCCCACAAAACAGAACTGACCAGTGGATAGTGCAGCAGACTGGGATTTGGGACTCCTGGGTTCTGTGCTGAGCTCTGCCACCAACTCACTGCAAAGCCTTGGGCAAGTCATTTAAACCTTCATACCTTGTGTCCCACAGCACATCTGTAAATGTGAAGGACCTGTCTGTCTATCTCCTACATTGGCTGTTTGACAAAATGGCCAGAAGGTGTTTGGAGCTTCACAAACAACAGGCATCCAAAGAAGTGTAGAGAGGAAGGTAGCTGCTGCACCTGCCCTCGGGCAAAGGGATCTAAACCATCTGCTGTAGAAGACATTAGGGAAGGGTTCCCCATCGTTGAGGTTCATCACTCAAGAGATAGCAATTTCAATGTAAAAGTCTATGGGGCTCATAGCCCTCTACCTCAGAACTGCTGTTCTATGAAGCAGCCAAGAGATGGCCCCATATCTCCCAGGGATTCAGAAGATTTGGACCCAGATGAGAATTTCTTATCATGTAACATGACCTCCTGCTTAAAGCAGGCCTGCAAACTTCATCTCATTTCACCTCTGTGAGGCCATGTAACTCTCATGAAGTAGCCAGACAAAGAATCAGAACTCACAGCTCCTGTACTGAAAAGAGTGGGCTTGTTCTACTAATGGGCTACTGGAACTCAGCAGGGGGAGACGAGAGATCTTAATACACTAGCACAGACTAAAAGCACAGCACATTCCTAACAAGACATACTACAAAGCCTTGTTCTTCCCCCGCCTCTCCAAAGCCCCAGGCAATTCCCACATGGTTTCCCCTCCCTGGAGTCTGAACACTCCACTTTAACTCCTTGGTGTGTGCGTCTCACCTCCACAGCCTTGGCCCAGCACTCACAGCACCTCACAGCGAATAGCCAATTAAATATTTAAGCACTTTCTACCAGCCTTTAAAACGCAACTGTGTAAGAGGCTGTTCTACACAGCCTCACAAGGCAATGAGCAATTCTCTGGCAGATAGAACAACTCCGGTTTCCATTAAAGAAATGTAAAACACTGCAACTCTGGTCTGAGAGTAAATGTAAGCCATTCCCAGCCCTCCACTGCGAGGGCAGTACCTAGACATACATGCAGTCAGGGCTGTGAGGTTCGGGGGGGGGGGGGGGGG